ACAAGCACTTTAAGCATTGGATTGAGCCTTTAGCTCCAATGTCTTTTTTTACGACCAGTGAGCACTGACTGTATACAAACCTTCAAAATCTGTCCACCGTCTGGGTATCGACGTAGAATATCTTTCAGGTAGTCGATGAAGGGTGGAGCTGTTGCCCCGAAGGACGTTCTAAACAAAGCAGCAGGATTAAAGAGAAAGAATTAGAATCCAAATCAACACACGGCGAGTCATCCTGAAGTATTCAAGACTTTGGAAGAATGGGGTCAAGTCAGATTTATTTATTGTGCTTAATAATAGTGGCAAAGCAAAATCAATGAGGATTCGAATTTACTATTAATTTAAAGATAGACTCAAAATCCAAACACATTAAAAGACAGAGATTAGGTAAACAAAGAAATTAGAAATACATTTAAAAAATACTGTTACTCATACTGTTTATGACTTTGCAGACATATGGAATTAATAAATAATTTAATGCAAGTATGATGATCAATAAGAATAGATTCATATAGAAACTAGCGGTTTACAAAACTATGTATTCTAGTCCTGCGGCTAAGTAAATAAACTGTAATTAGATAGTGCTTTTCTACTTTTATCGACCACTCTCTCACCCATTCACACACACATTTATACAGTGCTACTGTATGCTGTGCTTTTTCTTTCACACACTTTGGGGTTCAGTATGTTGCTCAATGACACATCAACACCTTCTGATTCATGAGCAACCCGCTCTCTCTCCTCGCACAGCTGACCACTGAGGATAACTTCAAGTCAGATGTTTCTGAGGAAATGAGTCACTCATCATCACAACATGTTCCTTCACTGCCTTCAGAATTACCAAAGAGAAATAAAAGGTGATCCCCCTCGTACTGTAATGGGTCGGTGCATCAATGTAAAAACAGATACAGGTGAATCTCACCGAGCTTTTTTCTTTGTCTTCTGACTCATCCTCCCTGTGTGGGCAGCTGTAACAGAATCACATTATTGTGACAACTGCAAAGACTCCAGCACAGTTACTCATTAATAATGAATTCAGAAATCATTAGTTAAGGCCTGAGGACTTCAGAAAGCAAACTGTTAGTAGAAAAAAACATATTATAAATACATCAGTGCTGCTGAATTGTCATTTTAATGCTTTACAAAGCTACATCGCAATTAATTGTCCCCACAGTATGGCAGTTGACAGTGGCTTTGTTTACATGGACACCAATTATCTTATATTAACCTGCTTAAGACAATGGTCTCACTTTCATGTAAACAGTCTTTTCTGATTACCTTAACCTGAATAAAGGTAATACTTGGAATAAGCAATAATTGAAGGCCTGCATCAGATCATATTAGTGTTACCAATACATCCTAATCACATCATAACATCCCATTGGAATATCCGATGCATTTTACAACATTAACATGTACGGCAGTTAAGCTATTTAACGCTATGATCAGAATATGCTCTGTAACATTTAAAGTGGAATGTGAATGGAATATTCTGTTAGCAGCTCATGTAAAAATTCTGATCAAAATAATGTCTTATTGAGAATAAGGTCAATAGTTGTAATATTACTGTCCATGTAAACTTAGTCTGTGGTGTGACTTATCTTTTACAAGCTTCCACTAACTGTCTCCCTGAGCCATTCTTTCATAAGTAATTGTAGCTAAAATCACAATCATTGTCTTGGACTTGTGTGTTTGCTGATTTCAGATGACTGTAGTGATAAACAACCGCAGCTTGGAACATATCAATCTGTAGTCTTAATGGACCATGTTCTATTTCATGGGGGTCCTGCTGTCTGACAACCAAATCAGAGAAATGTATTAATGTTCAAGAATCTCAAGCCTGAATGTCTATTTTGTGACAGTCAGTGCACAGTGGAGGAGATTAGAGATGGGGAGGCTATAAGGGCTGGATGCTGAACAGAGGAATATGACCAGAGGAAGGCTTGAATAATTCCATTCCTCCTCCTTTCATCGACCTCGCCCAATAATTGGTTAAATGGCTCTTAGATCCTTGTGTTTAAATGTGCACACCAGCTAGAGGCTCTATGGTCCAGTAATCCTTGCACTACTGAATCAACTATAGAGTTTAAAGTCTTTTTCAGTAAAGCTCAATTGATGTGACAACAGAGTAGAAGAGAAAGAGAGTAAAAATAAAAGGCTGAAATCTTTAGACACATGGCAGGATGCCCATTCCACATGATGACGTCATGAATGTGGTAATTAGTGTGTTACGTCATCCAGCAACATTAGCCAACTTTTTGAGTGTGCTGAAATTCAGTTGCACAGCATTGTACAAATCCAAAAACCACATTCCATAAAACAAACAACAGGGCAACACCTAAGCAAATGTTACACACCATTTAAAAGCAACAATATAAATGCATAACAAACAACCAAATGTCATGATTTAGAATTCTTTATTACTATAATGTGGAAAAAATGTATTTTATATGCAGTGGACAGAAGGAAGTGTTATTAAAAATGATAAAAAATAAGTATGAGTGTAGGGTTGTTCTGACTCAGTCTCCTTGCTTTGTTTCTGTGATAACATAAACCTGAGGTGAAGGCAAACCAGCTCCAAGCAGAAGACAATTTCCTCACTGTTTTTTTTAAATGACGGCCCCTCCCTTATGCTCACTGACAAAACAAATCCCACACAAGCTTAAGCTCATTGCTGCAGAGCTGCTGATCTCTGATTGCTCTAAGTCCATTTGTAAAGGCTTAAGAATAAAAACCCAGAGGATAGATCTTTGTATTTTTGCATTATTTTCACAGTTTCATCTGGAATTGAACGTTTTCTGCATCAGAAACTTTAAAATGTCCGACAATGTAAAAAACTCTAACCCTGTGTCAGTGAACTGATACAGTTGTGGAAAAGGCACTAACAATTAGAACTGCATTTAATAGTTTACCAATATATCTATTTAGATTTTTAACTAGTTTGCCATATCAAGATTCAGGCTGTGGTTCAGACATATAGTCAGACCCAGAATGCCAATGTAACCAATCTTTCAATACACAGACTGACTCTAGATCTGTTTCCTGATGAAATGAAAATCAAGATAAAAGAAGGTTTGTGGTGCCTTCAGGAGAACCAGTTCCTGGTTCCAAGTCCAGATCATTTTTGCTGACTCACATTGCATATTGTGGATGCAGATACCAACTGCTGCTGCTTGCATGAGCAGGTGGACTCAAGACTAACATAGCAAAGTTTCAACTTTTGCAAATTATAAAGTCCAATAATATATAATATAAATACTATTGACGTCATTTAGGCTCAACTCAGATGATCCACATCTGTGCCTTCACAGGGCTGAAAGTGTGATTTCAATTTTACTGGCTCAGCAAAGTGGAACTTGAAAGCAGGAAGTGGACAAAAATAATTAATAAACCAAAAATACACAAATATATGAATAGGGCAGTGAAACAATTAATAGAAAGAGACACAAGAGACATTCAGACCAGGAACATTTCCTTATTTATCTGGCTTCAATTTTCTACTGCAAAAAAGTTGATTTCCCCTAATTTTTATGATGTTCTAGTATAAAAAGTATTTTCCATAATAATTTCATGTTATTCTAATAAAATTCCGTCATGGTGACAGCAGAAAAATCACTGTACCTCAGACATGTGGGTCGACGGATGGTCTCAGGTCTGCAGCTGCTGGGGAGTTCACTCAAAGACTGAATGCAGTCACATCATGAGAATATAAAGACTGCACATGTCCTGCCCCAACATCACGAGACGTTTCCAGCTTCAAGTCTGTATCTTTCGATTTCTCCGTCAGTGCCAGTTTTCACAAAACGAAACTTTATCTCAGAGACCGTTTCATCCGAAATGGTTCATTCAGCGATCATTTGTTGTATCAGGAAAAACGAAACTTAACTCTTCTGGGCGGAAGTGTTTGTGTGTGTGTGATGTGCACTTGACAGGATGAGCGGACAAGTACACACACGCACGCACGCACACACACACGCACACACACACACACACACACACACACACACACACACACACACACACACATTTGTTTATTATTGTAGCTTTAGTTAGTTTCTCCACTGTTGGGAATGCGTTCACGTACTGTCAGGATAATCAGAAAAACAACTTCCCGACTGAGAAAATTCGTTTGAACGCCACTTCAAGTTGGAACAACTCGGAAACGCCTGCGAAGTTTACCGAGTTGCTGAGGTCATCACATATAAACCAATGTACACAAGTTTGCACAGTAATGCTGCTACTCGGTAACGTCATCAAAAGGCACGACATTGATTTCTATAGGTACTCTGATGACACAGCTAAACATTTCCACATCTCCTGAGGACTCCAGGCCTATAGATGCCATTTTCTAACTGTCTTTTACTTTCTGGTCTCCCTAAAAAGAACATAGGCCAATTACAACTAGCTCACATTACACTCACTTTTAAAGGCTCTGGACTGGCTACATGTTTGCTTCAGAATCCATTTTAAAATCCTTTCATTGGTCTTCCTTTCACTTATCTCCTAGATCTGTTTTTAACTTATCAACCCTCCAGAACCATCAAGTCTTCTGGTAGCTGCCTTTTAGTTTTACCCAAAGTCAGAACCATGGTGGAAGCGTTCTTTTAGCGCGATGGACCACTCTGGAACAGCCATCATGAAAACTTGAGAGCAGCAACGAGTGTTGGTATAACTCAACACCTACCTTTTAATTGACCTATATCAATTAATTTGTCAATTCATTCATAATTGATGTATCTTTTTAAATTCACTGTATTTTCAGATTATTTTCCTTTTAAATGCTACATTTTATTCTGTTTCTATTTTACTCCCTTCGATACATCTATGCTCTTTTAGGATTGTATCTGTTCATTCTAAAAACGTAAATACCACACGTGTTTTTTCTTCTTACAGTGTCCATGTTTATTCCACAGCACGTAAACGCACCGTGACTCTACAATAAAACACATGCGGTGTAGACATGTTCCTCCGCCGCTCGCTAGATGGCGCTGCAGACTATTTTTTTATCATGTGTTCACCACAGATCCGGGGGCAGGTTCTCGCAGCAGGAAAAAGACAGGACGTAAGATGTGATCGGACAAAAATAGTGTCAATGCGACATGTTACTGCATTTGAGAGATAAATGCTTTCAACAAACGCACGTTTTCGTTTCTAGAGAAGGATGAACGCGGTATGTAAATCATTTATTTATCCGCCATTACACACGTCCTCCAATAACCTCATTGTTCAGGACGAGTACCGAGGCCTGCAGCACAGCTGATTGGTTGTACAGTACAGTGGTGCACATCTGGATTGTCACATTTGGATATCAATCATCTGGTCCATCAGCAACCACTGTGATCAGACCACTTGTGCACTGTACAGGTTGAATCGTTGCAAAACTGTTTGGGCCCAAACTGTCCCACTGTCACTCCTCCACTCTGTCACTCTGTCATCCGGCCCACATACCGCGTGGACTGATGGCACTGAGGCCACAAGTGAGCCATAGAAATATAGCATGTGAACCAAAGGTGGCCCAAATCTGTTTTGTGCTATTTGGGCGTTATTCACCATTTACCACCATGTTTGCCGCATGTCACTGCATGTTTGCCCCATTTGTTTTGCAGTTTGTGGGCTGTATTTGCTATTTAACATGAGCGCCACTTTAGCCTCACATCCATTTCCGGGCCATAAGAAGGCCAGAAGTGCTGCATCAATGCCTGAAGTGGCCCACATCCCTATGCTATCTGGTTTGTTTTCATAATAACACAGCTATTAAGCAGAGTTTAAGATTAAGATTCCTCTTAATGGTCCCACACACAGCATGCAACATGCAAACATGGGGAAATTTGACCTCTGTATTTAACCCATCCGTGTGAACGGAGCACACACGGAACACTATCCACACAGTGACCACACACGGAACAGTGGGCAGCCATGAAGGCACCTGGAGAGCAATTGGGGGGTTTGGTGCCTTGCTCAAGGGCACTTCGACAGTGCCCAGGAGGTGAACTAGCACCTCTCCAACTTCTGTCCATGCTGGACTTGAACCGGCCACTCTCCGGTTCCCAAGCCAAGTCGCTATGGACTGAGCTACTGCCTCCCCAGGTGGATGTACTATTATAGTATTACTGTTATATAATAATAACTAAATAAGTGTTTCTGACTTTCAGATGTCCCTGTGAAACCCCTGCTCCTACACTGTGGCTGTAGAAAGCACCATGCTGGATAAACCCAGTGATAAAGACCAGCAGGCCGGCCAGTGTTCAGACTGTGGATGCACTTTCAGCCTGCCAGAGCCTGAGCCTGACTCGACCAGCACGTCGTCCTCTCCCAACCAGCAGCAGACATTCCAGACCAGGTGCCTGTCCTGCCAAGCGGAAGACAGCCTCCCCAATAGCCGGCGGCCGCACCGGCGCATCCGCCTGGACCCCCACATTTGTAGCCTATGCAACAAAACCTTCATCTCCTCCGCCCACCTGACCCTTCACCTCACCTCCCACAACAAGGAGAGGAAGTTCAGATGCAGCACCTGTGGCAAGTTCTTCCATCAGTCCTCCCATCTGATGGCGCACAAAATAATCCACAGTGGAGACAGGCCGTTCAAATGTCCAGAGTGTGGCAAGACCTTCGGCCGCGCCTCCCATCTGAAGACGCACAGCCGGCTCCATACTGGCGAGAAGCCCTTTAAGTGCTCCTACTGTGACAAGTGTTTCACGCAGAAGGCCGGGCTCCTAGCGCACGTTCGTATACACACAGGGGAGCGGCCGTACAAGTGTGAGCGGTGCGGTGAGGGTTTTCGGTCTTTGTCCCTCCTGCTCACTCACAAAGCCCAGGAGTCCTCTGGGAAGGCTAAACCAGCGCCTGCAGCAGCATCGACTCAACCTGAGAAAACACAGGGTAGCACAGAGGATCTGAAGTGCGGCGTCTGCTGCCGCACCTTTGTCCGATCATCATACATCCGGCTGCACATACGCCTCAAGAAAGGACTGCGGCCGTATCACTGCAAAGTGTGCAACAAGACCTTTGTCAAGCTGGACACCTTTGTGAACCACTGTGATAAACACTTGAGGAAAAAAAAGGATAAAAGTAAGGAGGTTAAAGTCAAAGTTGTTAAACCCCCTCTGTTTGTTCCACTCTCCAGGCCTTCACCACCTCCTCTTCCTCCTGATCCTGAATCCCTACCCACTCAGCCTTTATCCTCAGATGTCAACACACGCTCCAGGTCAAAAGCAAAGACTAAAACAGAGCAATGACCAAGAAGTGGGTATCCAGTGACAAAAATGGTCTTTAATACAATTCTGCTTTTGTCATATTAATATATTGACATAAAAAGTCACTTGTTTCCAAATTATCAAAAGGGCAAAGAACACAGTGGCAGTTGAATAACTCTAGAAACACAACCGTTTTTACAATTTACGAATTGTACAGTTATTTAATTTAGAATATTAAATTTTATTGTGAACAATTCAGTGTTTTTATTGCACATTTTAGCTTGTGTGAGGGATTATTAATAGTACCAATACTATTTCTGTGGCATGCATGTTCACTTTAATCTTTTAATATAAATCTCCAATTGTTGTAATTCATGGTAAATCGGTTGTTTTCTTAACTCCATACAGGCCTTGTACAATTTATGAATGCAAAGTAAATGTATATTGTGGAGTAAAAATAAAGACAGAAACATAGTGTTTTGAACTTGAATTTTCATTTATTGTAGCTGCGTCCACGAATATTTGATAAAAACAGTTTTCTGTTTGTTGATCATTGTCAGCACAGCACTGTCCTCTCTGAAACCCTTTTCCCCACTGAGACCAAAAAAGCATTTAAAGGTACAGTGTGTAGAATTTTGTGACATGCAGTGTTTAAATTGCATGTTGCAGCTGAACACCCCTCACCTCACCCTCTCCTTCCAAACATGAAAAAGAAACAGTGGTAGCTTCAGTTGTCATAAAAACTCAAAAGGTGTTTAGTTTGTCCAGTCTGGACTTATGTAAAAAATATGGCGGCCTCGTAGAGAGGACCCCCTCGATGTAAATATAAAGTACTTGAATATAAAGGGCCTTTTCTGGTGTAAAGAAAACTACAATTTAGATGAAACAAACTAGAGAAAACATGAGAATTAGTCTACATGAAATTTCTGCCAATAGATCCCTTTCACCTAAATCTTACACACTGGACCTTTAAATTGAAATTACACTGATCTACCATTCATTCAAACACGACCCTGCTCCTATTGCATTCATCATGGTGTGTTAAATTACCCAGGCCTAGGTTATCACATGTACCACAGTGCGGCTACATGTGCGCCCAGATGAGGCTCCTGTGACCGTCATGCTCATAATCATATGAAAGTCGCACTTCCATCACGGGTCATAAGCAGCTCGCAGCTGTGTGTCACCTCCACAGGAGAAAACTCTACCAACCTATGGAGACACAAATACAAATAAGTGTCACAACCCCAAAGATAAAGTGAGGAGTCTTGGGAGCCTCACGGATGTTACTGAGTCACATTGCATGGGAATATTGCAACCAAGGTGCTATAAGATATGATAAAGCAATCTCCCACCACTTTATGGGTTATAGTTCATTAATTATATCGCTCAGTTGAGGTGCATGAAGTGAAGATTTTTGACTTGCAGTTGTCACTGTCCTCTGTGCTGCTGTTGATGTTCCAGTGCAGGGTAACTGTCATGGTGTCTCCAGAAAGGATGCCGAGATGTGATTTATTATTGTCAGCTGTTAGAGATCTCACCAAGGATGTTATGCTTTCATTGCTGTATAAGTGACTAAAAGCAGCGTTACACAAACACTACTGAATTGATCTTTCTTGAAACTTGATGGAAGGATGGTGGTATGAGGCGAGGAAGAATACATTACGTTTTGGAGCATATTTGCAGGATAAGGTGTTTTTGACTGTTTCACCCCCTGTCTCCAGGCTTTCAAAATTAACAGTGAATCTGTGGAAAACACCAGACTTCTCCACACAGAACTGAAAATGATCCTCAATTTCCTGAGAAATGAAAGCACATTCCTTTGGTTACAAAATCCAAAGTGTATGGGGTGGATCCTATTTGAATATAGAAAAAAACAACAGCCACAAAGTACCTCCAGGTCATTGACTTGCAGAGTGTACATGTCCAGACAGATCATGTCAAAGGGAGCGGTGATTTTGAAAACAATGAGTGACTCATGTTAAAAGATATAAAGAAGTTGGTATGATATTACAGTGATGTAAAAAAAAAAGGTGTGTACTTGGTACTGCAACAGATCAACATGTGTTTTTACCTAAAACTTCACAAAACATTTGTACGAGAACTATTATAATATTAAATGATATACAGTATTTAGACAAAATCAAGAGAGTGGGGTGTTGGTTCACATACAGGTATTATGGAAAGATTAGAAAAGAGGAAGAAATGAAAGATTAGACAAATCAATGAATCTCTTTGAATTGGGAACTTCTGTGACTAATACGTTCTTATACCTTTGTCCCTTGGTTTGTTTGTCAGCAGGATTATGCAAAAACTACCAAACAGATTTCTATGAAACTTGATCGCAGAGAAAGAACACACTGAATTTTGGCACAGATCTGGACAAAGTTGAAGATCCAGGATATTTTTCTTTCTTTATTTAACATTACAACATGGGTTATTGTATTTTTTACATTTTCATCAATATCCCAGGGGATAATTTGGGGACTGATATCTATGAGTGTGTGCAATTTGGTGTAGCTTGATTGAATTGAAGGAGAGTTGGACCTTGACGGAGGTATGCATTATGCTATACTGTGATCCAATCTAGTCATACTTTAGGATAAATGTCAAGCGTTATTGGCTTGACCATCTGTGGCAATTGACCGTGCCACAGGGGCTCCCCCACACACACCCAGAGACAGTCCTGGTGCTTTTCAGCATCTTCATTAAACAAAACATAAACTTACAAAATCCTAAACTTAAGTACCAGCACTTTCTGTTCAGCTCAGCATCTCTCAGTCTTTCTACATGCATCTCCCATGTTTGTCTGTCTCAGTATGTGTGTGTCTCTGAGGCAGCTCGTCTGCTGCCTTTTAAAGCTGAGGACCAATCAGCTAACAGCTCTCACCTGCGCTGATTGATCAGTGGAGATGCTCTCCCATCCCCCTCCACAGTGTAATGTTCACTGAGACTAGTTCTTAATGAAGAGCGGTGATGTCCAGGCCCTAGGGTCACTCAAAGAAGGAATTTTTCTCTGCGTAGTAACCTTCGGCCTGACATGGCACCAGGGTGAGGGCTGCAGACGAGGTCCACATCTGATTCCACCATGAACTCAATCTAGACCAGAGGGAAGAGACAGAGAAACACAGTAAAGTACGTTGAAATCTGCACAGAGCTGAGAGTGGAAGTTGGCACCTAGAAAAACTAATCATACTGACATGAGCATCCAGAATGCTGAAAACCTTCAAACAGAATATTATCAGTGGTAAAAATTAAAAGTATCTGCTGGGACATTATTACCAGTTAACATTACCATATGACCAGCAGGCAGTTGCCTTACTTGTCCACTGGTTACAACTTCAGTACCTTGTTGACATGCACACCATAGCATGTAGTAACAACCTCTATCCAGCAGGTGGGAACATAGATTCACTAATGCTCAGTGCACATTGTCTCTGACCCATGAGTAAACAGTAACAGGTCTGTCCTGCGTCTTTCTGAGTAGTGCGTTCAAAGACATACAGACAAATAAAGCTGAGTAGCTGAACAGCAGCAATTTGAATTCTAATTTATGTGTCTATTTTAGTTTCACTGCATTTTATAACAAATATAACTTTGAGAGAAGATGGTTATTGTGATGGATTTCCTGACTCTAGTCAGATTTATGGCTGAGTGTCACTGCCATAGTCTGTACAGTCTAGACCCTATGTAAATAAAGATGGATGACATGACAGCTCCCTAAAGTGAAGCCAAACTGCGTGGTGGCTGGCTGCAGTATAGATAAACAATCTCTCTGGTAATGGATGGACCTAACTAAAAAGTACATGGCAAATAATGGCAAATGGTGTCTGTCATTTTACTTGTTGTAGTAGTTTCTCTTTATGGTGTATGATCAAGTGTTCATTTTCCATTAAGTTCGGTTTTCATTACTTATTTGATGCCATAATAACGGGGTGAAACATTCTGATTGACAGCTGAGTCTAAATCCTGATTGGTCCAGCATGTGTATCAGCGGGACCTTCCTTCCTTCCTCCCTCCATCACTGCTCCGTAGACTCTTGCTCAAAATCACTTGCGCAAGATGGCAATGCTCATGGGATATTTGCTTCCACCAATTAGGTTTTGTTTTCACTCATCAGTTTTTTTTTTTTTTTAGAGGATTACGCTAAAACTCCTGCACAAATTCTCATGAAACTTGGTGGAAGGATGTGCTGTGGGTCAGGGAAGACCTTTGTGGCTATTTAGCCTGGGGAGAGTTATACGCTCTACTGAGTGCCATTCAAGTTAAGTATTAGACTTTGGGGTGAACATGATTCACAGCTGAGACTAACTCGGGATTGGTTGCACACATTTATCAACAGGACCTTCCTTCAGATCCCTCCCTTCATCACTACTCTAGATTGTGGCTCCACAGGACAGCACTGTTGGAAGATGGCAGCATTTATATAAGGATGTTTTGGCTTCATTTCTGGGTATTAGGGGTAAAAGGAGACATGTCTTCCATCTATATATATACACGTGGCATGCTTACATTTCTAAATGTGTGCAACTTGTTGATGAACTGCCACATACAGAACATTATGAATCTTTAAAGTTTCTAACCAGCATCCCATAACTGCTTAAGTATTCTTCATCCTGCCATGGATAACCTTTGACCCCAGGCAGCTCAGCCCACCACAAGTCTGATGAGGGTTTGGTGTGTACAAGCAGTCTGTCCCCACTTCCTGTTTTTACGTTAAATGAAGTACCTTAATGTGCTGATTGGAAAAACAAAGATGGCGGGTTGGGTTTCTGTGTGAAGTGGAGATCATATCAAAAACTAATGTCGATACTCATTATTATTATTATTGTAACGCTACATGTAGTATACGTATAGTAAATATTATAATAGCATAATATATCTGGTTCCGCAGCTGCAGGATTTAGATCTTACACTACCAAACAATTATTACTTTAACTGGTGCTGTTAACTTTCATAACTTGATAATATCTTTAAGTACCACTCTTAGTTACAAGTACATTCAATACAGTAAGCAGCAAAGAATTAAGGCACAATATACAGTATAAAAATATACAAAACATTTATTTTCATTATTTCCATAAAATTTAACATTAAACAAACTACAGCACACTCACAGAACACTTGAACAGTTCACATTTAAAATCCTTGAAACCATCCATGATTCACTGGAAGTATTCAGTGAAGTCCACGATGATGGCTCATGTCACAGGCTGTTGGTGGGAAGTTTCACGTGTCTTTTGTTTTGGACTTGAGGAAGGGTTTGTGCAGCACGTCGTAGAGTCGTCTTGCCTACGAGCAGAAATATGAATTCAACAAATGTTTAATCTACCCTCCACACAGTTATATCTTGCTTATGTGCTATTATGTACTTTTTGTGGTCCAAGGCCCGGACAGAGAACCAGGTCTTCCTTAGATGCACTGATGATGCCT